ATTGTAAAATCTTCACCAAAGCGAAACACAGAATTACAAGAGGCACATAGATTGGAAGTCATTGGTATGTTAGCTCGTGGTGAGAGGGATTCAGGCCGAGGAAAAAATCAAATGACATCCTTGCAAAGATCAGGTACTACTCGGTGGGGCTCTCATTATGATTCTATCTTGAGTATGATAGAAATGTTTAATGCAACATGTACAGTTCTTATGAGTATTGCATGTGATGGTCCAAATCCCAAAGCTCGAACTGAAGCTGATGGTGCTTGCACTAGTGTTAAGAGCTTTGATTTTGTATTTGGTTTGCATTTAATGGAAGCAGTTATGCGTATAACAGATTTTGTTTGTCAAGCATTACAAAGAGATAATGTTGACATTTTATCTGCAATTGGTTTTGTTGAAACCGCAAAAGATTTGCTTCAAAAGTTGCGAAATGACGGGTGGGAGAACTTGTTTGAGAAAGTCAAAAACTTTTGCTTGCAGCATGAAATTCATGTACCTGACATGATGAGCAAGCTTAGGCGTGGTCGAAAAGAGGTAGATATGGAGCATTATTATCATTATGAATTTTTCACCCAAAGTATTGATTTTCAATTGACAGAGTTGGAGTGTAGATTCAACGAATCATCAGTTCAATTGCTCCGACTTAGTGTGGGTTTGGATCCAAAAAATTCATTTGAATCATATAATGCTGATGATATCTACAAGCTTGCTTTGGAATTTTATCCCGATGATTTTCAGGCTCACGAGAGGCATGCTTTGAAGAGTGAGTTGCAATTTTTTGAACCTCACATAGTTCAAAATTCCCAGTTTCAAGTTCATTCTCTTGCAAAGTTGAGTGAAGAGTTGGTCAAATCTGGAAAGGCAGAACACTTCAAAATGATTACAAGATTAATTCATCTTGTATTGACTTTACCTGTTTCGACTGCAACAACAGAAAGATCATTTTCTGCAATGAAACTTGTGAAGAATGAAATTCGTAATAAGATGAAAGATGAATTTCTTGCCGATCGTTTGACCATCTTTATTGAAAAGGAATTTGCCATCAAAATCGACGTTGAGTCTGTCATAGATGAGTTTGCTAAGGTCAAAGAGCGTCGTGTTCAGTTAACATTCTAGTTTCAAACATTGTATGTATTGTTTAAAAATATTACTATGAATTTTAATGGATTTTAATCATTATGTTTACACTATTGTCGCTTTTAAAATTTTTATATAATGTTTTTAGTGTAAAGTCGGCCCAGGGTAGACATCTGTCCTGGCTACGCCCCTGCTTGTAGCTAGTGAGTGCTTGAAGGCTAATGCAACAAATGAAACTGCACTTGACATATCTACTGCAGCATCACCATTTGTGATTTTGAAAGAACAAGTACGAAAGCTTCTGGTTCTGCAAGCAGCAAGGTATTGGGGAGGAAGAGGCGCGAGGATGAAGTTGAATGGCATGGCTGTTTCTCACTTCCCATCTTGAGGGCAAGGTGGTTGTCAAAAGGGGAGTAATGATAGACCTAGATTGTACTAGTAATAAGAATAATATTGGTCTTTTAATATTGTAGAATAAAAGGGGTTTAGGCCCGGAATTAAATAGCACTGGGCTAGTCCAAATGGAAAAGAATAAATAGGAGTTGGGGAGTGGAATAGAGGAGGAGAACTTGAGACTTGGGCTGGGATTTTGGGAGAGATAGGCTGCTCTAAGTGCCTAACCGTGTACCGTTTCACTTCTGTTCTTCATTTATGTTCTCAATACACATCAATTTTCCTCTTTCGATCTTGGTATCTATCACTTATACAGCCAGTTCCTAGTAAATATCCTACCACTGTAATATTTTAGAGGTTTTCTTCAAACACCATTTCACTTCTTACAATTTAGTATTTTAAAGGCTAAAGGATCCAATAGGTATTTTGAATTAACCAAAAAATCAATAGTTATATTTATGTTTTCTACTGTATATATTTATACTATATTTATTACTATGTATTATTTTTATTCTAATTTTTAGTTTAACTTATCAATGTTGAAACTTTTTTAAAGTTGAGGGGGTGATTTGAACAATTCAAACTAGTTCAAGGATTTATTTGAACTTTTAACTTCCATGCCTGATGCACAATTGGCACCTTAGCTGGTGACATGGCGGGTCACCAAATGTTCACCCGTTAAAAAAAAATTGAATCTTTTTTGCTAGATAAGGGTGCAAATTGGACTTTTTTTTGTTCAGGGTCTGAATAGATCAAACGCAACAGGTAGAGGGGCCCATCTGACCCTTAGCCTATTTTAAAAGCTCTGATATACGTCATTGTAGTGTTTAAATATTGCAAGTAACATCTTCTTTCAAATGATTTGCGTCATTGTAGCTCTGATTAACATCTGTAACTGAAACACCCTATTACCCTTGAATTCAAAAAGAGAAAAGTTCTTATGGCCGTATGTACAAGATTGAAGAGCTTCTACACACATAAGTGAATCACCCAGTTTGGAAGCCTGAACGTAGAACTTAAACACGAATGTTGTCCTACATGATTATAATTTTACAGTACTATAAATTGAGTATATATAGGGAAGGAATAACATGCAAGCCTATTCAGAACGCATAAGGTAACCAGTTTATGTGTAATTAAGTTGCTGACTCCTGCCTTGGTTTCAAAAGCTAAATAATGCTGACAATTAGAAACAGTAACAAGCCTAGCCTGACTATGACGATTTGAGTTTGGTGGAAGGCCCTCTAAATAGGAAAGTGGTGGGGCAGTGGCCTTTGCTTCTAGAATGGGCTCCGTCAAGGCTTCAGGGATTCTTACTATCATTGGTAGCCTTGGTTTCATCAAAAGTTCCTTCCTAAAATCTCACCAAAAAAGTAATTCAAGTGAAGCATGGCATCATCATTAGGTGCAGACTTGTACCATTAAGCATATCATGATAGGTGCTTGGGATTCCAAAATGAAAAGTTGTTTTATGTATGAACCCAAATTATACTGCTTTTTATTGTTATATTTATCTTATTTTACTTATTAAAAAGTATAGGGAAAAGTACGGAAAAGATACTTGTGGTTGGACCCCTTTTTCAGATAGAATCATGTGTTTCATTTTTTTATCAAAGTGGTTCGTGTGTTTGAATTCCGTTATCACAAGAGGATCACGCCAATAAAAACGCCTGAGAAAAATGGTTAATTAATAGTAACTCCGATTTCAAAAGTGTCCGGAAAATTAAAAGAAAAATACTAAAAGGTGTGCCTCGTCAAGATGACCTCTAAACCACATTTGCCTTTGGATTTTTTGCATCCTTTTGAATGATTTTGCTAAAATCACTTTTCCAGTGGACTTTCCGGTGACAAGGGTGGTTGAAAACAAAAATGAAAGATGGTCTAGCGGTCATCTTGTTGAGACGCACCTTTCGAAATTTTTCTTTTGATTTTCCAAACACTTAAAAATCGGAGTTACTATTAACCGTTTTTCTCATGCGTTTTTAATGGTGGAACCCTCTTGTGATAACGTAACTCAAACACATGAACCACTTTGATAAAAAATGAAACACATGACTCTATCTTAAAACGGGCCCAACCACAAGTACTTTTTCCGTACTTTTCCCAAAAGTATATCTTCAAATTTCTAATTTGTAATTAATTCTTTGAATTCAGGTATTTCAAAAAAGAATGCCTCACGAAGCGATTTATCTAGGTTCCCAGCCAGTTCAATACTCGCAGCTTCAGCTGTAGTTCTGCTGTGAGTTTAACCCTGTCCTAGTGTCCTGCTGCAAAACACACTATTATCATTGCTTGTCTTGCTTCTTAACGTGATTAGGAAATATTAAAACCCAAAGGAAATGAAGATTTGGTTGATATGTTGTTCACTTGTGCAGCTAGAATAACACGTCATTTTGTTATCTTTTTAATAAAATAAATCATTGTGTTTCGTCATTTGAAATTATTTAATTTGTGTTAACATCGTTTTTGGGTAATCTTCAGTTTTATCAAAGTGATTTAGTTTTCACCTTCAAGAATGTTTATCTCAAATTTAATATGATTGCTTGTCTTTTTATAGCCATGTCCAAAGTGAGGGGATGATGATAGATCACACCACTTCTTGACATATAGTTAGCTGCAGCTTCACTTGGAATATTCAACCACCTTGATATCGGGGGAGCGAAATAAAATCACATCAATATTAGTGAAACATAAGTTCCTGAAGAGGATGAATGTGATGTTAAACCATAGGAATGTTGGATGATAATGTAAATACAGTGTTCATGTCATCTGTGCACGCCTAAAAGTTGATTCTACTGGCTCTCACTGTTCTTACTGCTCGTTTTTATGAAGAAACGTGTCACTTTTTGTGTCTATTGTTCTGTACATTGTTTTGGACAAGGGATGATATATGAAGTGTCTTTTACTAATTCTTTTGGTTTATGAGAAGGTTTTTTTTATACCAAACACTAACTTCTTAATTTCATGCACTAAAGTTTTTTGTATATTTTAGCTTTGTGATACTTATTTACAAGTTCAGTACTCCATCTATTTAAAGTTCATGTGTTTCTTTTTAGAACATCCTAAATAGTCAACTTTAACAGTGATGGGCACGGTCCATGTGATGCAATTAAAGGTATAATCCATACAAAAGCTGCATGCCTCTTGATAGGGTTAACCAAGGGACATATACAATCAAGAAGAGGCATATACAATCTATAAAATCTAGATGTAAACAAAACCTATACATGCAATAATTGAAGTCTGCGTTTTACTTTAGTTTTAGTTCTCACGAAACATTTTTGACAATTGGACATGATGCATGTATTTTTCAGAATCAAAATCAAAATGGTGGGTAACATAACAACACAAAGGCGTGGTGAGTTCAGAGCTTTAGGCTTCTTTTCTTTACTCTTTAATGAGTCTGCTGCGGCCTTTGCAAACTGCAAAGTATGGGAGGGTTTTGTTTTAGAGCCAAGAAATTCTTTGAGTACACGTTTGTATACTCGTCTCTGCATAGGCAAATAGGGGTAGACACAAAGTATATACTTTTTGTGTACAACTAGTTTTTTTCTTTGTTTTATTTACCTTGTATAAATAGGTTTCGCCCAAGTCTACACTTTGGTAAATTCTTACATGTGTTCTCAATTTTGCTACTCCACGGAATTTAGTTGTACTGACCAATGATGATTGAGGTTACAACAAATTCTTTTATTCAAAAAATGATTAATTAATGGTTACAACAACAACATCAAGAACAGAAAGACAAGAAAAATTGTCCGCCAAAAGAATTCCTCAAAACCAGGCCAGCATTTTCACAGGCTCTGAATTGAAGTTTATTGAAGTTGCATGGCAAGACGAGAGTTGAATGTGAGTCCTAACCAGATTTGGTAACTTCATGGATTGCATTAGCCAAATAACCAACATTTCCTGAAGTCACTCCTGCCATACTGAATAAAACAAAGCAATATTTATTACATAATGTCATAGAGAGAACCATAAATAGTTTGCTGATCATATTAATTGTTATATATGTATGTATATGCCTCTTCTAAAATTGTATGATAATATGATATCATCATTGCTGTGTCAAGTGATGGTGATTAATTAAAATTTAAAAGGCACACACCAATCAGAGTATAAGCTCATGGTGAAGCATACCTAATACGGCCATTTCGGGTCAGGTAGATATGGAACTCATTTGTCAAGCGGTCAACTTGTTCGGGTGTCAATCCACTATAGCAAAACATGCCAATCTGCAGGCATATAATATTCATGATTGCAAGCTATCAAAAGTAATTATACTCTGAGTTACTTTTTCATCTGTGAACTAGCAACATTCAGTACCTGATTGGTTATATGCTCCCATGATAAAGGAGAGCCCAACTTTTCAAGGCTTTCTCTTAGTGCGGCTCTTGTTCCTATGATGCGATCTGCCATCCCCTATAAAAACATACAAATTCACATTGAAAAAAGTTTAAGATTCTAGGGCCTCCTCATTTAGATGGAAAGTTACTGGTCTGGTCATCTCATCTTTGATCTCGACGATCTCGACCCCTTAAGTCTAGGATGATCTGATCAGGCCTAGTTTGACATCATACGTATTTCATTACCCACTTAAGGATGGCCTATTTTGTTTGGTTCGGGTCTGTTAAAGTTAGTCTACTACGAGCTGATGAGGTCTATGATGGGAATAAGTCCAAGTGAACGGGTTTTAACTCACATGATGCGAGCTCATGTCAAATAGTACAAGTTATTGGTAGAAAAGGTTGCTAAGATTTCATATAATGGACTACTGTCACAATACCTTTACTTCCTGAAGCCACAATTTCTTCAAAATTGGGTCACCAAGGATGGTGGCAACTATGAGAGCACCATGGACTGGTGGATTACTGTACATGGGCCTTGCAAGCTGCTGCAACTGACTTTTAACAGCTACAGCTTGCTTGTCATCATCACAAACCACACTGCATAAGAAACAGAAATAAGATAAACACGTGATGATCTTTTCCTTGGTTTTGGCTGATGGTGTCTTAAAAATAACTGAAATTCACATTTGCCATGCTTCAAGGCATGAGCTCATTGGGTAAGCCCAATTCGAAAACAAAGTCAAAGACCATCATAACAAATTATTTCCATGTAGGAATATTTTCCAGATGTTTCTTTAAGTGCTTTATCTAAATGCATCTTGCTGTGGGAACATACAGTAATTATTTAAAATATAATTTTGCGAACGTTTGGTAATTTTGCTTTGAAGACTATGGCCCTGTTTGCATTGATCGGCTTATCCTGCCTATTAGCATAATATGCTAAGTAATCTGATTAAGTGTCTCAAACAAACGGTGGGCTGAAATTGATTTTAAAGCATCTTTCCCCTTAAAATCTCGACAGATTCAGTCATTTCAGCTAAATAACCCTTACCAAATGGGACCCTATATATTGAAGGAGAATGTCTAGCTCAAGGCTAAAAGAAAATCTCACCTCAAACACCCCACTCTCTGTCCATATAGTCCCATGTTTTTGGCATATGACTGGGCACATCCAACTGCATGACCATCCTCTATAAATATACGGATAGCCCTGGCATCCTTCTCAGTGTTCCCACTAGCAAATCCTTGATATGCCATGTCAAAGAAGGCAAAATGTCCTTTGGCCTGAAAAAGAAATTGTTATTTCTACACAAAAGGTTATAACATTAGATATTTAGTTACACGAACAACAATGAGGAAAAGAAAGAAATGCCATTTACATATTACCTTGAACTGGTGAGAGATCTCTCTCCATTGCTCTTCGGTCGGATCAACTCCGGTAGGATTGTGAGCACAAGCATGGAGTAAAAAAAATGATCCTTTTGGTGCATTCTATGACACCAGCAAATCCATTACAGGGATAGGATAAACATGATTGGCCCAGTAAGAGAGAGAGAGAGAGACGTCATACATAAATAAACTCTATGGTTCCTTTAACTGTACCTTTATATCTTCCAACATGCCAGTGAAGTCCAACCCTTTTGATTCTGGATGATAATAACGATATGTGTTTTGAGTGACGTTGGCATCTCTCCAAATGTTATGGTGACTGCAAAGGCCAAATAAATACAATACTTACAGAAATTTAAAGTTTAGGCTTTGTTTGTAAATATAGCTACAAAACTGGATCCTGCCGTTTTCAAGAATTAAAAATTACTCTGTAATACATATGGAAGCAAAAGAAATGAACTTATTAAGCTTTGTACTAACTTTGACCATGTAGGAACAGGAATAAAAACTTGTGAATCAGGACAGAAACGTTTCTGGAAGTCTGCAAATATTCGGCATGCACCCGTTCCAGATAGAGATTGGATGGCTCCAATGCGTTTCTCTTTTATCAAGTCAGAACTCTCCCCATAGGCCAACTTTAGAGATTCCTCAATCATGTTAATGCTTCCTCCCATTGGAAGATATTCCCTACCAAAGAAGGTACACTTGAAATCAGAATAACCGTCGTTGAAATAATTTGAATTTTGCATTTCTATTTAGACTGTTTTCCACTTCTAAGGTGGTGTGGCCTTTTTATCGACCACATTTTTACCCTGAACAGCCCACCACGGCAGAGTGTTCATTTCATACTCCATAACAAATTAAGAAAAGGGGTCTATAATTGTTAATAACTTAATATTGTTTTACCAGGGAGAGCATTGAGGTGACAGGAGCAGTAGAGCGCTAGTATTTTAGTGTTCTTTGGACAGAGAAATAATTGTAGAACTCAAACTATAGGTGAAGTTACAAAAGATATTCAGAACTGGCCCTAAATATGATTATCTAATAATAATTCTAATAGCTCGTATGAAGATATTACATTTCTACTTACCAGCTAGATCTTTTACTAAAGATTTACTTTTGACCAGGCTCAATTGGCTGAAGTTGATGGATAGAAATATTGAATGAAAAAGGAAAGTATACATTTTTGCATTTTTTTACGTTACAAAAGAAAATATATACTCTATCTATTTATCCCAAGAAGGCAACAATTCATCCAATTAAGAAAATTGAATTATTTCAACAAAACTCATTTAACAGAACTCAACATGCGATTATGTTAGCAAAAGGAATCAGAATGGATAGTTGAATTTCACAATAATTTCAAAATGCATAGTTGCATTTAATTACTTCATAGTTCATATCAATTAATATTCCGTATCCTCTAGTTGTAGAACCCATTCTGTCTGTCTCTCAATGTTCTCTGGTTGCCAAAAAAAGCGTCCTCTAAATGACTGCAAACTATGGCATCTACCATTTGTCCATTTCAAATATCACTAAATTTTGACTGCTACCTATACCTATCAGACTTACGAGCCAGAACTTTCAACGTTCGAAAATAACGCAAATCGTCAGAAATGAGAACTCACATGTTAAAACTTCCAGCAATTTTCCGTTCTGCTTCCCTGACACACTGGAGCACCACAGGCTTTCCATTATCGTCACGGTAAGCTCCCTTCAAGTACATTGATATATAACACAAGTGCAATTAGGCTGCTGCTCCAAAACCAAATCCAGTTAAATCAGCAGACACTGAAATGTGAATTCATAGACTTACAACTCCGACATTGACTTTTTCGGGGCAAGGATCCGCGAGGTAAGCTTCGGTGACGCCGAGGATCGGATCTTTCGGAGCCGGATCTACACTTCGCCACCAAGACGACATGGATCGCGCTCCGACAACCACATTAGAGTTGAGGATCTTACAAGAAGCAGCAGCTCGGAGCACCATGATTAGCAGCTGGGTAGAGAGAGATATGCAGGTGTAGAGATAATCGGAGTGAGAAAGAAAAGGCGGAGACGTCGGAGTAGGAATCTATAGAGAGAGAGAAAAAAAAAGTATAGAGATTGAGTAAGTAATTAACAAGAGTTACCACATCCACATTAATTTTCTACTTGGGAGCACTTTTCTTAATAAAATTGGGAAGAAACTGCTGTTACCGCATGACATTAGGGAGAGTGATTATTATACTATAAATATTAACTAAAAGTGTTCTTGAAGATGTGTTAATTATAGTTGGAGATGACTCGTATTTATAGGAAAAAAACTTAAACTCGTTTAGATTAAGAGATAATTATGAATTACACAGTTATTGTCTTGATAATGGTGATAATAATTCTGAATAGTAGATTATGACAAATTCATTTATCGGACTAGAATTTGAGTGCAATTTTAGACCGTAAGTAAAAGACAAATTCATTTCTCATCCCGAAGTGTACACTTTAGAATCGATATTAACAACACCAATAAACACACCCAAAGGCCAAAGTGTGTTGTTTATTGTGTGCGATTTAAAGAATGAATTTGCAATGTTTTCTCAACAGCTTTTATGATATCCAAATACAACTTGAAAAAAAACTGTAGGGGTGAAATATTAGTTTGGTTTAACCAAACCGAATCATATCAAATCAAATGGAACTGTATGCAATTAGTTTGAGTTTTGTAGAATTTCTTCCAAATCATATTAAACCGAACCAAAATTGATAAAATCGATCAAAACTGAACCGAACTAAAGAAATTCAACAAAACTTTCATATATTATTAAAAAATAATTAATTCAAACCGAACCAAATCCAACTCAACCGAACCGAACCAAATCAAAAAATAGTATGGTTTTTGTTTGGTAATAATTCTCTCAATCCATTCTAAACTGAATCGAACCAAAACCGACAAAAACTGAATCGAAAACTGATAAGTCCACCCCTAAAAAACTGTTTGTACACATTATTTGTACATATTCCCTGCACACACACCCTAGTTGCATGTGTACACAACAACTTATACAGAAATTGTTGTGTACACAAACAATTAGGCAGTGTGTACAAGAAATGTGTACAAGTAGCACCATACTCCCTCCGTCCTAAATTAATTTGCAAAGTCAACATTTTTTGTTAATTCATGTTAAAGTTAAATCATTTATATTGATAATTAAGAGGCCATTTGGCAACACTGTTTTTCGGCTTATCAGTCTTATCAACCAACTTTTTCACCAAAAATGTAACTTTTGCTTTCGCGCTAAATTGTGTAATAAGCAAAAAAAAGTACGGTTGGAGTTGGTTTTCAAATTGTATTGGCCGAAGTTATCGTAGATGACCATTTTAGCTATTTTACATATAACATTTTCTTTATTTTACAAATAAAATATATTTAATTCTTTTTTCTTAAATCGGCAGAATCAACCACTTCGGTCACTTCACCAGAACTTCATAATTGCAGTCAAATCAGCCGATTTTCAGTCAATCGTGCTACCAAAATAGCTCTAACTCAATTTTTAACAACTACTCCCTCCAATCCCAAAAGAACGTCATTGTTTGACCTCAAGATTTTTAAGAAAGTGAAATTTTTTATTTTGACTTTCTCATTATGCCTCCCAAAAAGTAGATAAAGTGTAGTGAAAGAGAGAAAGTGAGTGTAAAGTGAATAATAAAGTAAGGGTGTAAGGATAATTTTACTTTAAAAACTTGCCAAAAATAGAAGTGTGAATTTTATTTTGAACGTACCCAAAAAGGATGTGTGAAGTTGTTTTGGATAGAAGGGGGTAAAATTTACATATAATATAATTAAAAATTATATTATATGTAAATTATATTATTTGCAACTCCAAATTATAATATAATTAAAAATTGACATTCTAATTAAGTGAATAAAATAAAACTATTTAATCAAAAAAGCCAATTTTACAAATCAATTCGTGATAGAGTTGGTAGTTCTCGTTTTAACATATGCTTACTATATATAACAAACATAATCGCCGACTCACTCTCTCTTACGAGAGGTCTCGAATTCAAAACTAAATTGAATGAGTTTCAACCCATTTTACTCCAGGCCTCCTCACCCAGACACCATGGAGTAAAAAAAAAATAACATAATTGGCCGTGGCATATATATACCCAGACACCCAGACACAGGGGTGGAGACAGGGAGGGGCTGGAGGGGGCCACGGCCCCTGCAAGAAAAAAATTCTTAAGTATATATTATGTATAAATACTTTTAATCTATAGAAAATATGTTGATATTTTAAACTTTGGCCTCTGCAATGTAAAATTTTTAGGAAAAATTGATTGTAATAATCTCAATTATGGACGGTCCGCTTATAATAATCCCAACTATCGATTATTTTAGAATAATCCTAACTTTAGGGACCTTCCGCCAATAATGGTCCCTATAAATAAATTCCTGTAGTTTTTAAAGTGGATGAGGAGAGATATAACAAGTAATCCCTATAAATAATCTCAACTTTTAATTTTTATACTTAATTTCTATTTAAATTCAATTTTTATAGGAGGTAATATCTGGTCATGGACCATTATTGGCGGATGGTCCATATAGTTGGGATTATACAAAAATAATCTATAGTTGGGATTATTATCAACGGACCGATAATAGTTGGAATAAAGACTGGCCCCTTCAACCATAGATTTCTGGCTCCGCCACTGCCCAGACAGTCAGACACACGAATAAAATACATTTAACACACATATACAGACTATAGTAAGTTTCACAGTTGTGTCGTGCTTTTGTGCTGGCATTCCCGTGGGCCTTTTCCTATGACTCCCATTTTATAAACTACTCCGTATTATTATCACAGAATAATTACGCCAAACTAAAATCAAGACAAAATCGTTTAAAATTAAAAACAGTATTCACCCGAGACTCACTCGTCATCATCATTGTAACCAAAACCATCTTCATCGCCATCTTCCCCATCACTAAAGACATTTTGGACCTGATTTGTTTGAAAACTCTGAAATTGCTTGATAGCATCTCTTGCATTAAAGAAAAGAGCATTCTTTGCGGCTTGAATTGTTGTCGCTTCCACCTTTTGGTGTTCTTCTTCACCATTTCCTTGTGAACACTTTGACTTTCTTAAAAATGCAACCTTCCTCTTAGCCTCCCTGAAAAGCAACTGATCAATGTATCTGTCATGCAATGCTTTGTTCTTAATCGGCTTTAGAACTGGAGGACTAAAGAGAGTGATTGCCTCCAGGTCACTTAGTTGCGAAAAGTTACTTGGGCGATCTGACTTCAACTCAGGGGTAAGTATGTAAAAACTGTCGCCACTCGGAAAAACATCAGGAGTTTTTGCTGTGGTTGACCCCTCCTCAAGTAAAGTGAAGAGGTCCTTTTCCATAGTATCCCTCTCTACCTTCCATTGCTTATGCATCATCTCTCTCACTGCTTTTTTTGAAATGCGTTTCTTTGGTTTTGGATTCATCGGATCAAGCAATTTGCTTGAGCAGAGAGGAGATAAAAACGGTATTGCCTGTTTAACCCTTGAACGTTGGCGGGGTTGGGGTGGGGTCATGTGATCTGAATGTATCCTGTCAAAGCACTCTTGTGCGGACTTCCCAGGCACCTGTTGAATATATGTCCACATTTCTTGTTACCAGTAGTTGAAAGTTTGATATTACAAGAAAAAGCACAAGAGAAGAAGTATTGCCTGTCCACAACAGTGCAGGAAATAATTACAATTAAAACTTTAAATTGTATTCAACCTCTTGGTGGCTTTCAATTGTATACGGCCGAATAGTATTTCTTGCAGTGTTGTGGACAGGATTTTAAGTATCAAGATATCCAGTCTTAAAAGCCTCCCCCATTCAAGCGCCTCCAGAATCCATACATACCCTTTCTAATCATCATCTAACTTTAAATGGACCACCCAAGTGACTACTACGACTTAAAAAGTCATATTTGTAATATGTACTGTTTTTTGTGCGTGTGTGGTGTTAGTGGTGGGGGGGGCATAGAGCTAGTGCAAACTTTTACTGTCACTGTCTACTTGAAGCATAGTCTGTAGTAATCTTCTTCAATAGAATTGGAATAAGTTCACGAAGTCTAGAGAAAGGGGTTATTCACAGTACTTACATATCTACTTCAAACATAGCCTGTAGACATTCACAATAGGCATAATCACCACATTCAATTTCCATCCACCTCCAATAAGGCCATATATTTCATGGTAGGCAAATTGTCATACAAGTCATACAAAAAGATATTTTCAACACAACGAAGAGTGTGGGAATATTACCATCTTTGAGACTTTCTTCCAGAAATGAGGAGTTGCTTTTGCAGAATAATAAGCTCTTTGTAATGCCAGCTCTTGCTCCTTAGTCCACTCTTTAGTAAGAAAATCCACGTCTTTTCCCTTTGGTTTCTTCCTCTTCAGGTCTCTCCTTTTTTCTGCCAAATCATTATTTTCCTTACTTTTACCTCCACCCTCGATTGCAATGTCTAAAGGAGGTTCAACAGTACATGGTCCAATCTTTTCCAACTTTTTCATCGAAGGCATGTCAACTATGGCAACGTGTACTCTATTCTTTCATAGTTTCATCAGCCTGAAAGTCATTGTCGAAAACTAAAGCTATTTCAGGATAACTAATCATCATTAAAGAGCAACAGTGATACATTAACTTGCCTTTTCTCTGATCCTACTTATCTTTGGAACAGAACTGCATATACACAATACTTCATTTTATGAATGATATCTTACTTAAATTACTTAGAATTAAAAAGTTTTAGAATCACTGGATCTCTTTTACTTGACATCTTCCTAAACACAACGAATGTCACAGGAAAAGCATTGCTGGATTTCCCCCATGTTTTTCTGTTATTACTCACTGAGAAAAGCAGCCAGAAAAATTAATGACAATGCCATAAAGAAATTGTGAGGGACATAATAAAGGACAGTGACATACTGACATTCATAGTTATCTAATTTTATTTCTTCGCTACTTGTTAGTAAACTACTTTTGACATAAACTTTCAAGGATCGGAATAATTAAAAGCGTATATGAAATAGATTCTGATTTCTGAAT